GCTAGCTTCCTCACCCCCAAACTTTGTCTCTTCCTCTGGCAGATGCAGGATGTTAGAAGTTCCCAGTGCAAGGGAGGGCTCCCACTTCCCTGTCCTCACTCACCCCTCTGTCTGTGTCTCCAGCCTAGTGCCCTAGACCCCTTCCTGCTTCCTGACCCCTTCCTGGGCTGTAGATTACAGAGCCATCTTTGAGCCCTGGCCCCTCCCAGGGTGCTCAGGAGGTAACCCATGACCCATAATGGCAGTCTGTGTGACCCACTTCTGGTACCTCTTTCTGGTTCCCATGACCATGAACTGTCCTGTTGGGGTTTGAAGAGGCCTCTGGTGACCCAGCAAGAGTGAATTCATGTCCACATCTTCAGTCTGTCTTAGGCCGAGGCCCTCTATGTGGTGACTTATCCCTGCTCCAGGCAGGAAGATGAGACTCTATGTTGACTCATCCCTGTTCAGGCAGGTATGACTGTGTTAACTCATCCCTGCTTCAGGCAGGAAGATGAGCTTCTGTGTGATGACTCATCCCTGATCCAGACAGGCAGATGAGACTGTGTGGTGACTCACCCCGATCCAGGCAGGCAAGTGAGACTCTGTGTTGACTCATCCCTGCTCCAGGCTGGCAGGTGAGACTGTGTGGTGACTCATCCCTGCTCAAGCAGGTGAGACTCTGTTGACTCATCCCTGCTCCAGATAGGCAGGTGAGACTGTGTGGTGACTCATCCCTGCTCAAGCAAGTGAGACTGTTGACTCATCCCTGCTCCAGGCAGGTAGGTGAGACTCTGTGTTGACTCATCCCTGCTCCAGACAGGGAGGTGAGACTGTGTGGTGACTCATCCCGATCCAGGAAGGCAGGTGAGACTTTGTGGTGCCTCATCCCTGCTCAGGCAGGTGAGACTCTTGTGTTGAGTCATCCCTGCTCCAGGCAGGCAGGTGAGACTGTGTGGTGACTCATCCCTACTCAGGCAGGTGAGACTCTGTGTTGACTCATCCCTGCTCCAGGCAAGCAGGTGAGACTGTGTGGTGACTCACCCCAATCCAGGCAGGCATATGAGACTCTGTGTTGACTCATCCCTGCTCCAGGCAGGCAGATGTGACTCTGTTGACTCATCCCTGATCCAGGTAGGCAGGAAAATGAGACTCTTATGTTGACTCATCCCTGCTCCAGGCAGGAAGATGAGACTCTGTGTTGACTCATCCCTGCTCCAAGCAGGCAGGTAAAACTGTGTGGTGACTCATCCCTGCTCAAGCAGGTAAGATTCTGTGTTGACTCATCCCTGCTCCATCCAGGTTGTGTGTTCTGTCCCCCAATTTGGGCCTGGGGTAATGCTGAGCCTTTACATTTGCATGTGTGAGGGGTGCATATACAGTGTGGCTCACAGGTTCTGAATTTAGGGAGTTCTAGGGGAGTCATGGTAGGAGGCCACTGGGGGCTGGGGAGGGTTAGGTCCCCAGTTTTTGCCTGATCCCGTCCACAACCTGTGCCATCCACACAGTGGAGCCATCCACTTTCCCTGCCAACCTCTGCCTGAAGCCTGGCTGGAGGCTGAGCTCTGGTTGAGTCCCCCACTGTGTATGCTCTGCACAGCCCAATGCCACGCCTACAGCCTATACCATAGCTGGTAGCCTGAGGACAGGGACGGGTGCCTGTCTTGCCTGAGTGAGCCTCTAGATCACTTCCACCGCAGACGGAAAATTCCATGTGGTCAGAGCCCAGATGCTGAGTGGCACTTCTCGTTATCATCCTCAATGGCTTGTGGGCAGTGGTGGCTGCCCTGCCATTGAATGTGTTGGCCTAGTGCCCCATGGAGGCATGTCCTCTGGGCATCAAGCCTGGAAGACTGAGCACAAGTCAGGCTGTCCCACAGGGTCCCAGTGTGGCTGTGCTGACATGCCCTCCCCTCAGAGCAAACTAGGAGGGTACCAATCCTTCTACCCATGGGGCTAGTGCAGGACCCACTGCCTGCACTCTGTGCCCAGGGAATGACCAGGGAGCTCTCTTCACAGCTGGCCCCATCTTGTAGAAACAGGTCCTGTCAGAAAGTTCCCCCAGCCTCTTAGAGTTTGTGCAGTGGGAAATAGGGGCCTCAGTTTACCCACAGTGAGATTGAGTGCACAGGTCCTGAGTAGACTTGAGGATAGGCTCAGGGCGGTCAGTGTCCCTCCTTAGCTTGAATCAGAGGTACACTGTCCTTGTCCAATTCATGAACTCAGTGACACCTTTCAGTACCCCATTTGAGATGTGGTGGCAGACCTCAAGGCACAGAGGGTAGAAATATGGTCAGGCAGCACTTCCTAGAGCAGGCCAGACCAAGATAGGAAGCTCTCAACCTCATTGTGGGTAAACTGAGGCCCCTTTCCTACCCCACATACTCCAAGAGGCTGGAAAGAGGAGGGACATCAGGTATGGACACCTGACTGCCCTAAGAGCAGGGAGTTGGGTGTGCCAAGCTCCTGTCACTTGTGAGGGCTTGAGTGACACTGGCATCCTTGGGTTAGTCTCAGGACACCATTTTTTTTTTTTTTTTTTTGAGTGGCCATGGGATTTCTTGAGCCTGATATCTTGGACTGAGACTTGTTTCCTTCCCATTACAGCCTCCTAGTTTTGACCAGGTCTGGTCTGCCTGGGCTGATTTGAGAGCCTACCAGGCACATAGGAGCCCTCAGGTTCACTGGACCATACCTCTGGTACGTGCATGTGTGGGTAATCCCACAGCACACATGTGAACATAGGCCTGAACATTTATGTTTGGGGCTGGGTGTGTGCTTTCTCCCTGAGCTCATGTGGCTGCTCCACACCCCTCTGAGGACCGGTGGCTTTTCCTAGGGGCTCCCCACAAAGGTGAGACTCAAAGCCTTTCTGCCCTGTTCTAGTTTGCTTTCTATTGCTGTGATAAAACACTCTGACCAAAAATAACTTGGGGAGGAAGGGGTTTATTGCATTTTACACTTCTAAGTGACAGTCCATCTTTGAGGGAAGCTGGCTAGGAATCTGGAGGCAGGAACTGAAGCACAGACCATGGAGGAATGCTACGTACTGGCTTGCTCCTCTGGCCTGTGCTCAGCCTGCTTCCTCATACAGCCACAGACCACCTGCCCAGCGGTGGCACCACCCACAGTGGGCTGAGCCCTGCCATACCACTCAATAATCAAGAAAATGCCTCATAGACATGGCCACAGACCAATCTGATAGAGAAAATTCCCCAACTGAGGTTCCCTCTTCCCAAGTGTAAGGTTGACAACAAAAGCCAACCATGACATATCCATTGGCTTGTGTCCTTTCCCAGTGACTCTACTGGCTCTGGTTCACACACAAACCCTGGCTGCTGTTCACGGCAGATTGCCCGACACCCCATCCATTAAGGGACAAGCTCGCCTCACCCTACCCCAGCTCCTGTCAAGGATCTTGTCTTACTGTTTTCTTATCTAGCAAATGGGAGGATGTGGTACAGGTACCACCATGGAGAACTGGGTCTGCAGGCCCTTTGAGGTGTCCCAGGACTGGCAGAGCACTGGGTGCAGAGCTGAAGCATGGTGCCTATCTGGGATCCATCTCCCACTTCCGCTTCCCTGGGAAGATGTACATTCCCAGAAAGATGTACATTCTAGATGTGAGATGGAGCCCAAGCCACCACTCCCACAGTTGCATGCTGTGAATATGGAGATGGGGGTACAAGGGAGCAAGGGTAATTCTACCCAGGGCCAAGATGGGGCTGGCTGACATAGGAAACCCCAGGGTGGCCCTGCTCATACAAGTGCAGATGTCTTTGGTCCTTGGAGAGACTGGTCAGCAGCTCTCAGGCCCATATCATCCTTTGTCTCTAACCTGTAAGGAGGGGACCTGCAGAGGGTTGGTACCTCTAGTCCATGCCCAGGTGTGAGCAGGTGAAGGGGATCCAGAGGGAAGCCAGGGATGTTGTTGCTGCTAAGTACCCTGATGTTTATTGATAGCCACTGTGTGTAGGACCTGATGCCGGGAAACAAGCAGGGTCAATGTGAGGCTCCTGTGCCTGGCCTGTGGCCTGCAGTCAAGTCCTGGGTCAGCCTCCTGGGTCAGCACCTGTTCCCCTCCCTGAGCACACTCTGCAGAAGTAGAAAGATTCTCACTTCCAGTGTCTTGTAAGGTTCAGATTGCTGGGCAGTTCCAGGGCACAGGGTAGAGAGGCACCATGTAGTTGATGGGGGATGGGCTGTGGTCTTCTGGTGGAGCTAGGTGTTTCTAGCCTTCATCTGAAGGTTCCCCTGTATTGTGCCACAGGCAGAGGTCCAGCCTCTAAATGGCAGGGCAGCAGAGGGACTTTGGATCAGTCTCTAATTTTTGGCTCACGGTAACTGGATGCAAAGGCAGCCACTTCACGGCCAGGTGGGAAGTGGAGAGGCCTGCCTCCAGGTGTAGCAGCCAGCTGGCTTTTGGGAGAGCAGGGAGTGCCATCCTTCTGTTGCCTGGCAACTGTCTCCCAGGAGATGGCCCACTGGGTACCAGGACTGCTGAGGGAGCAACCTGTGGTCCCAAGGGGGACTAGGTTGTTCCACCTCCATTTCACTTGATGCACAGGTCTCAGGGAAAGCACCCAAAGGCCATCAGCAATGTGGGTGACCATCCAGCATCCCTCAGCTGCCCCTGCTGACCAGTAACTGCTGCAGAGCAACACCCTCTTTCCCCACATTGACACAGGAAGCAAGCTGAGACCACATTTCCTGTCATGTGGTCACTAAGGGGCACATGGTTTCTGGTCTGTTCTCTCTACTTCTCTGAAACTCGGGGTAGGCCGTGTGTGCCACAGTACACATGTGGAGGTCAGAGGACAACTGGGGTTCTACCACTGTGTGGGTACCAAGAACTCAGCACTGTATAGCTCAGGCTGGACTCACACTCCTAGCTGGGATTACAGGCGCGTGCCACCAAGCCTGGTTTACTGTTTCTTGACTGGGGAAGCACGTGGCCAGGCAGACTAAAAGAATGCCCAGGCCCCGCCCTCCAGCGCTCCCATCTTCCCGCCCGCTCTCAGGCGCTGCTACTGCTGGGGGCCGCCGCCCTGGCCTGCCTGGCCCTAGACCTCCTCTTCTTGCTCTTTTACTCCTTCTGGCTCTGCTGCCGGCGGCGAAAGACCGACGAGCACCTGGATGCTGACTGCTGCTGCACGGCCTGGTGTGTCATCATCGCCACGCTAGTGTGCAGGTGAGCCCGACAGAGGAAGGGCGGGGCCGGGAGCTGGAGAGGGCGGGGCGAGGCCTGAGATGATCTGGAGTGCAGGGTGGGGCCAGGGGAGGGGCGGGGCCAGAGAACTGGGACAGTCTAGGGAGGACCAGGCGGGGACAGTGGGGCCAGGAAAGGGGCGTGGCCAGAGTCTGGGGGAAGACTGCGTAGGGCCAGAGCCGGGGAAAGGCCTGGTGGACCGGGTGGGAGCAGAGAGGGGCGGAGGGGCCTAGGAGACCGGTTGGGTGCAGGGGTGGGGCGGGGCCAGGGGACTGGGGCAATTTGGGTAGGGCCAGAGCCTGTGAGGGGCTTAGGAGACTGGGTAAGACAAGAGATGGGCGGGGCCAGAGGCAGGGCAGCAGGTGTGGAGTTTGATGGTTCGGATTTCCCCAGCGCTGGCATCGCAGTGGGATTCTATGGCAACGGGGAGACCAGCGACGGCGTCCATCGAGCCACCTATTCGCTGCGCCATGCCAACCGTACAGTGGCAGGGGTCCAGGACCGCGTGAGTGGCGGGTTGGGGAGCGCCCAGCCCTGTTTGCTGTATACCTTGTCTGTGCGCAGGTGGGAGGAGTGGGTAGGGCGGGTGAAGTCCCTGCACCTGGCCTTAGCGCTTGCCGGTTCCCATAGGTGTGGGAAACTGCAGTGGCCCTGAATCGCACCGCAGAGCCCAACCTGCAGAGCCTGGAGCGGCAGCTGGCTGGGAGGCAGGAATCCCTACGGGCTGTGCAGCGGCTGCAGAGCCTGCTAGGGACACTGCTGGGTTACACTGCTGCCATCCCCTTTTGGAGGAATCCCCGCGTGTCACTGGAGATGCTAGCTGAGCAGGTGGACCTCTATGACTGGTACAGGTAAGCCAAGTCCTCTTTCCTGCTTTCCTTCTAGGGCCTACTTCACCTGGGTAGAGCATCACCCTTCTGAGACCCTGTTGTACCTAGTCCCTGAGGCCTTACGGGTTCTGGACAGAGCAATGGAAGGTCACCATAGTGCGAATCCCTGTGTGTGTGTGGGGGGTGTCTTTTTCAAGAACTGACACTGAGTCAGGTTTGGTTGTGTATACCTGTAATCCCAGCATTGGGGAGGCTGAGACAGAAGGATTGTGAGTTCCAGGTCAGCCTGGGCTACGTGGAAAGACCTTGCAAAAGGGGTGGGGGATACCAGTCCCTGGGTCTCAGGCTATTTGCCCTGTCATCATCCATGCCTGGTCCACACTTGTGTGTGTCCACAGGTGGCTGGGTTACCTGGGCCTCCTGTTGCTTGATGTCATCATCTGCCTCCTGGTGCTGGTGGGCCTCATCCGTAGCTCCAAAGGCATCTTGGTTGGGTGAGTTGAGGGGAAGGTGGGCCCCTGTGGGTTGGTGGGATTGAAGGATGGGCCGAGGCATCATAGTCCTCTCTCCCCTCCATCAGTGAGACTCACAAAGCCGTGGCATGGGTCTGCCCAACATGAGCATCTCTTAAATGCAGTTTTCCTCCCTAAGACGCCACTCTACTGTGGTCAATGTTGTTGACCTTTTGCCTGTTCATGGTTGCTAGCTCCTTGGAAAGTACACACGAGGCACTTACAGACTTCCTGGTTAGGTCTCCCAAGTGATGGGAGATACCAGGAGACCTGGCTGGTTTTCAGCCCAGCTGTCATTACTGTGTTGGCCACCTTGGGCAGGTGGCCTGTTAGTGTCTCCTCTGAAAGACAGAAAGATGATAGCTTGCCCATACTGCGCCTCCTGAACAGTTACCTCCCAGCTCCTGGGTCTGTTACCATTGAGTCCTGAGAATCCTCCAGCCCCTGCCTGTGTCACCCACAGTCCTTGGAGAGATGAAAGGATAGTTGTGATAGAGCCCAAGAGAAAAGCAAAGTCAGAGTCAGGGGATCCTGAGTATGAAACGCACCCAAGGAACTCCAAGAGGGGACAGTTGGACTGAAGCTCAAGGGAGCAAGGGAGGCTTGGATACTTGGGAAAGATGGTCAGTGGTTTCTTCAGGCCCACAGTTGGATGGTATGTATAGTGGCATAGAGGCCTGTGTGGCTGGAGCAGGCCTGAGTTGGATGGAGGAAGAGCCAGAGTTGGATGGCCTGAAGTGGCTGAAGTTTCATGTGGACAGGAAGTGTGAGGCCCACGCAGCCATAGGGTCTTCCAGCCAAGCCTGGGCTACACTCTTGTTCCCAGCTCTGAGCTGGCAGAGACCCACTCCAGCCAGGATGGGAATCTGTCCTGGCTCTGGGCTTTGAGCAACTCTGAGACCAGGCCACAAGGAAGCCACTGCCCCTGTGTGGACCAGATCCCTAGATGTGCCCTGGGGTCTCTGGCCCTCTGACCCACAGCTATGTGTGTGGCACGTCCCCTACCCCCAGCCTGGGGGCTGCTGACCAGCCTTCTTTGCCCCAAGGGTCTGCTTGCTGGGTGTTTTGGCCCTGGTCATCAGCTGGGGTACACTGGGCTTGGAGCTGGCCGTGTCTGTGGTGAGTGGCAGAGGGACCAGCAATCCCTACCTGCTGGACCTCGGTGGGGAGGAGGAAGCCACACTCCTGTCCCCTCTCATTTTGCCCTGGGTCACACTGCACATCCACACCCCCCCCCCATTCACCTTCCTTCTTCTTAATCCTGTGGGACAAATTCTACTTACCGAGAACCCTGGGTGGGCATGGCTTCCCTTAGGCCCAGCTTGGTCACCTGCCCTACCTTGCCCCACCCCCCCAGGGCTCCAGCGACTTCTGCATGGACCCTGATGCCTTTGTGACCAAGATGGTGGAGGAGCACTCAGTACTGAATGGGGGTGAGTCTATGGCCATAGGGCTGGGATGAACTATAATAGCGATCCCAGGAGGCTTGGTACAGGCCAAGAAAATGTTGGTACTAGGCTGCTTCCGAGTGGGCAGCCAGAGGAGGAACACCTGCTGAAGAGGAGGCTACCTCTTTTGTGGAGGCCTGAGGCAGAAACCCCAGCTGTGTTTGTGAGGCAGGAGATCAACCAGCTGGGAGCAGAGAGGGTGGGGGGCCAAAAAGGCTGCTGGGCCACAGTTGGGAATACGGGCTTTCTTCTAGTGGGGAAGAGAGAGACCCAACTATGATGGGTATCCTTTTAAAAACCTCCTCAGAGCTGTGGTAGGAGGGTCTTCAGTTCCTGGCAAACCTGAATGAGACTGTCTTAAAACAAAACAAAACAACAACAACAAAAAAACCCTCACATTTTTGCAGGAAAGCCTTGAGCAGGTGGAAGTGGACAGGGGTGTACCTTGAAAGTGGGGCCAACAGGACTTTCAGACATGCTGGCCGTGGGGAGAGGGAGTGAGGAGCCTGTGCCCCTGGACTCCTGGGGCACTGATGGAGTGAAGAAGCTAAGGCTGTGGATGGTGCTCTCTAGAGAGCTCACCCCACCCAATATCAAGCTTCCAGACCAAGAAGACCCGGCTCTGAATGTCCTACACAGTGGCAGGGACCCCACTGTGAGGATAGGGTCTGGGCTAGTCTCAATCTCCCTGGAGGTCACGGCTGTGCCTCACATACATGGATATATATATATATCCATATGTCCATGTGTGCATGCACACTCATACCTAAGTATGTGCCAGCACATGAATGTAGACATACACCATTTGCAAGCACAGACGTGTGGGTGCAGATAATATGAGGACATAAGTGTGCATTTGTACTCACATGCAGACACACACAGAACCCGCCTTCAGCCCACTTCCCTCTCTCCACAGACATTTTACAGTACTACCTGACTTGCTCGCCCCGTGCCACCAACCCCTTCCAGCAGGTGAGAGCTAGGCTGGTCCTGGGTGGCTCTGGTTCAGGGTGCAAGGTGCGGGAAGAGCAAAGCATCTTGTCTGTGGGAGAGAGGCTGAGCAAAACTCTGGGCCTGGCCACCCCCCAAACTCTAGTGTCTGTAGCCAGCCGCCCTCATAGGTGCTGGGCAGACAGAGCTGGAGGGATGCTGTGGGAGTGTCACTCTCTGCTGACTCGTTGCTCCCATCCTCTCCTGGTGACCTGTTTAATGTCACCACATCCTTAGGACACCTTTCATGCTTTGAGTTTCCTTCAGCAACTCTGAAAGACAGGCAATGCTGAATACTGACATGGGCAGGGGTGGGAGGAGCCATGGGGACACCTCTGTAGAACTCCATCTATTCAGGTGCCATTGCGGTGGCATTTGAAGAGGTTGGCAGCCTCGGTTAGCCAAAAAAGCTCCTTTACTGTCTGCCTGTCATACCACCAAGATAATAGGAGCCCTTTGGGTCCCAAAGACTCATCTTTGTTGATGATGACATGCTTTACTCTCTGTAGCAAGCGCAGGATTCTGTTACCACCCCAGGGTCTATGTTGGCCTCTGTGTAGCAGCTTGGGGAGCAAAGGGTACTCTATAGCCTGTAGGGCAGAGCTAGGCACAGCCTGCCACTTGGATCCTCACTGGCTGCCTGTGTAGGGAGGGTTGGGGTGGGACTAGCAGCTGGCAGCCACTGGACTTCCCACCTCCACACCTCTTTGGAGCAGAAGCTGTCGGGCAGCCACAAGGCACTGGTGGAAATGCAGGATGTTGTGGCTGAGCTGCTGAGGAGTGTTCCCCGGGAACACCCAGCCACCAAGGTAAGAGACTACCACGGTAAGAGAACGTGGGTGAAGGTGGCCCAGTAGGGTCCTGGATGTCCTGATTTCTCCCCTTCATTTCCCACACAGCCTTCTCGCCTTCCCTTCCCTCCCTCTCTGGTCCTTTTCCCTAGAAAATTTTCATAGGTTTATAAAAATATTTTATATTTGAGGGGGCTGGAGAGATGACTCAGTGGTTTAGAGCACTGGCTGTTCTTGAAGAGGATCTGGGTTCAGTTTCCAGCACCCACACTGTGGCTAATAACCATCCGTGACTCCAATTCCAGGGGATCCGATGCCCTCTTCTGGCTTACGCAGACATTGCACACACATAGCAGGAGGGAACTAATTCCCACAAGTTGTCCTCTAATGTCGAGAGAGAGAGAGAGAGAGAGAGAGAGAGAGAGAGAGAGAGAGAGAGAGGAGAGAGAGAGTGTAATAAAAATATTTTTGTAAAATACCACTAAAAAGTAGTACAAGCTCAGCATAATGGCTCACACCTGTTATCTTAGCACTCAGGAGACTGAGGCAGGAAGATCTTGACCTCTAGACCAACCTGGACTATGTATCCAGACCCTCTCTCAAAAGCCAAAGCCAACAAGGCATGGTAGCACACACCTTTAATCCCAGAACTTGGGAGGGAAAGGCAGGCAGATCCCTGTGAGATCAAAGCCAACCTGGTCTACATAGCAAGTTCCAGGCCAGCTAGGCCTACAAGGAGATCCTGTCTTAAAACAACAAACAAAAAATTTATTGCAGGAGCTAGATAGATGGCTCAGCAGTTAACACTGGCTATTCTTGCAAAACACCTGGATTCAGTTCCAAGCACCCACATGGCAGCTCACAACTTATCTGTAACTTCAAGTAAATAAAAATGTGTTACAACCAGTACTCAGGAGGCAGAGGCATGTAGATCTCTGTGAATTTGAGGCCAGACTGGTCTACGTGGCAAGTTCCAGGCCAGTTGGGGCTCTAGGGAAACCTTGTCCCAAAAGAGCTTAAAAAAATTGTTGCAGGAGGCAGCAAGCAGGTCTAGTCCCTGACCTGGAGAGCTGCAGCCAGCCCAGGGTGTTGGTGTGCAGCATTATCTCCATGCAGGAAACTTGGTGTGTGCTGTGCTGGCACTTAACACGTTATTCAGAATCCCCCATCTTTCTTGGGCTACATAGTGAACCCCTGTCTAAAATAAAAAGATTATTATAACTGATTATATAGCTGATTTTTGTTAGTATTTTGAGACATGGTCTTGCTGTATAGGTGAGGGTATCCTCAAACCTGGAACAGTTGTTTGCCTCTGCTTCCCTTTGCCTCTGCTATGATTATAGGTGTGTGTCACCACACCCCACCTAAAATAGGATTTTTAGGAGCAGAACGAGGTCCTGGTCAGTGAAACACACAGCGGATCACTGTTTCTCCCACGACAGTGAGGAAAATCTAGAGTGCACACCTCTAATCCTAGCACTCAGGAGGCTGAGGCAGGAAGATAAACCATGAGTTCCAGGCCAATCTGGGCTATATAGTGAGACCCTGACTCAAACAGACAAACATAAAGCAAAGCCAGGTATGGTGGTACACACCTATAATCCCAGCATTGGGGGAGGCTGAGGTAGGAGGATTGTGAATTTAAAACTAGTCCAGGGTACAGAGCAAGAATTTTAACTAAAACAAAAGAAAGTCTTCCTAGCAGGGGCCACATTGCACAGACACCTGTGGGCACCCCACCCCTTTTATTCCAGAATACAGAATTCAGTGTTACCATTTTCTTTTTTCTCATATTTATTTATTTTTATTTTATGTTGATAAGTGTGTTTGCCTGTGTGTATGTAACTGTACCACATGCATGCAGTGCCCACAGAGGCCAGAAGAAAGCATCATTAGATCTCCTGAAACTGGAATTACAGACAACTTGTTAGCTACCTTGTGGGTGGTGGGACCCAAACCCAGGTCCTCTGCAAGAGCAGTAAGTGCTCTTAACCACTGAGCCATTTCTCCAGCCCCGGAGAGTAGCTAGAAATCCTATACATTTGGGGGGTTTGTTTGTTTGTTTGTGAGAGACAGGGTCTTCCTGTAGCCCCAGCAGGCTTAGAACTTGCTATATAGACCAGGCTAGCTTCCATCTCACAGAGATTCGCCTGCCTCTGCCTCCTGAATGCTGGAATCAAAGGTGTATGCCACCATACCTGGCCCTTGGGGTTGCCATTTCTGAAGACCCTTAGGATCTGCAATAGGACTTGTGGCTCGGGTGGTCTCAATGGCAGGTTGTGGGATAGGAGACCCAGGAGCTCCATGGATGGTTTGGGTCTTCTTAATCATTATGCCAACATCTGTGGTATGTGACCCCTACCCTCCCTGCCCCCAGGACCCCTTGCTTCACATCCAGGAAGTGCTGAATGCCACAGAGGTGAACCTTCAGCACCTTACTGCCCTGGTGGACTGCCGCAGCCTTCATCTGGTGAGGCCACTGGGGTGGGGTGGGCACCTGGGGACAGGACAGAGGGGACCCACAATAGAGAGAGGTGCATAGTTCTTGGGATGATGGTGTGGCCCAGCATGTTGATTTCACTGCCTGTCCCTAACTATTTCTCTGTCCCTGGCTTTGTGTCTTGTTCCTTTGGCTCAGGACTACGTGCAGGCCCTGACGGGCTTCTGCTATGATGGTGTCGAGGGACTCATCTACCTGGCCCTCTTCTCCTTTGTCACAGCCCTCATGTTCAGCTCCATCGTCTGCAGCGTTCCACACACCTGGCAACAGAAGAGGTAAGGTTTTCACTGGGATCCTGGAGTTTGGGACTGGCCCTTCCAAGCACTCAGGTCCCAGTCCCCAAAGGTGAGGGATATAATATGCTTCTTCACCTCCTAATACCTTTTGAAGGCCCCATAGCATGTTGGGTGTCACCTGCTGTCAGGTGAGCCTGTGATGATGATGGTGACAGAGATTCCTGCCCATAACGTAGAGCAGGCAGGGAGCAGAGACCAGCTCTCCTGCCACTTGGGGCTGACTCTGTGCCCTATACCTTAGAGACTGGCATCAGAATGTATCTTCCAAGACCCCCAGGTACAGGTGTGCACAGGTATAGTCTTGTGCAGTAAGAAGTTCGGTGGCTACAGCCTGCTGGGACCCAGATGGAGTCACTGTGGCTTTATCTTTGAAGTCAGAGTCTTAGTGACTCCTGTCTCAGTCCCATCAGCTAGGACTGGGCTAAGGAGATGGGAGTCAGGCAGGCTTCTTCCTTGGTGAGGCACCATGACCCATCTCCCAGACCTTCTGCCTCCTATTGACAACATGGGGTCTTTTTTGTAGCCTGACACAGATGGCAAGTATGTCAGCTCAAGTCTGTCCCTTATGCCTGTGGTGTTATTGTGTTGATTGCCCTGGTGATGCTAGTGGGTGTAGAGGTGGTGGTAATGGTGTTGATGATGATGATGGTGAAGAGGGTGGTGATGGTGGAAAGGATAATAAGGATGGGTGATTGTGGTGTTGATAATAATGGTAATGATGGTTAGTGGTGATGATAGTGATGATGGCACTGGTGATGGTGATGATGATAGTGGTGGTAGTGATGATAGAAGCCATGATGATAGTGATGGTGCTGCTGCTGATAATGAAGGTGATGATGATGATGATGTCATTATTGTGGTTATGATGGTGATGAAGATGATGGTGGTGGTGATTCTAGTGATGATGGTGATAGTGTTGATAGGAGGATACTCATGATGTTGCTGGTGGTGATAATGATGAAGATGGTGATGATGGTGGTGATTGTAATGATGAAGGTAATAGTGATTGTGGTGATGATGTGGCAATGGTAGAAGCCATGATGATGGTGACGATTATGATGGTGGTGATGATGGTGAGGGTGATTATGATGGTGATGATTATGACGGTGATGGTGATGGTGATGATTGTGATGGTGGTGGTGATGATGGTGATGATTATGATGATAATGTTTATGATGGTGGTGATTATGACAGTGGTAGTGATGGTGATGATTATGATGATAATGTTTATGATGGTGGTGGTGATGCTGAGAGTGATTATGATGGTGATGATTATGATGGTGATCATTGTGATGGTGGTGATGATTATGATGGTGGTTGTGACGGATGATTATGATGGTGGTGGTGATGATGGTGGTGATTATGACAGTGGTAGTGATAGTGATGATTTGATGATGGTGGTGGTGGTGATGATTATAATGGTGGTGATTATTATAATGGTGATGATGATTATGATGGTGATATTAGGATTGTGATAGTGATAGTATGGTGGTGATGATTATGATGATGGTGACAGTGGTGGTGATGGTGGTGATGATGGTGATCCTATAATGGTAATGATGGTGTTAGTGATTCTGATAATGGTAGTGATGGTGATGATTATGGTAGTGGTAATGATTATGATGGTGGTGGTGGTGATGAAAATCATGGTGGTACTGATGGTGGCAATAGTGATGATGAAGATGGTGATGGTGCTGATGGTGGGAGTGGTAACATGGAAGTTGCAGGAGGGTGGCTAAGTGCCCTGGCTCTTTGTGGTTGTATTCAGGTCCCAGGATATACATAATTAAAAATAAATGTTAAAAAAAGGAGCACATATTGGGGGCCAGGAGAGCCCCTATCTGTTAAGGCCCTGCCTAGTCTCAGCTTTGGCTACTTGCAGGCGGCAGCTCACACTGTCCCTCCTCTGAGTCCCCTTTCCATACAGAGGAGCTTCGGAACATCAGAAACCAGGTCCATAGCCACCAACAGGGAGTGGAGGATGGAAAGCCAGAGGCCAACAGGGCAGGGTATGATTGCTCACCTCACGCTGCCCAAGGCAGAAGATAAGCCCCACAGAAGCAAAAGCAAGCACCCAAGCTTCTTCCTTCTCTGAGCAGGGCCCAGGGTTGGCCATCGCAGAGGACAAGTTGAGATGCAGAGCCGGGTGACTGGCCCACAGTCCTGCCAAGTGTCAGACTGCAGAGCCTGAGCCTGTGCTGTTATCCATCCCTGCAGAGGCCCAGATGAGGACGGGGAGGAGGACACTGCCCCTGGGCCACGGCAGGCACACGACAGCCTCTATCGAGTGCACATGCCCAGTTTGTATAGCTGTGGCAGCAGCTACGGCAGTGAAGCCAGCATCCCAGCTGCCGCACACACCGTCAGCAATGCCCCGGTCACCGAGTACATGTGAGTTATGGGGGCTAGGGATACGCAGAGCTAGGGCTAGGGCCAGTGCACATGCCCAGTTGGGGAGCCTGGCTTAGAGGATGGGGAGAACAGGTGGCAGGGGAGGGGAAGAGGAAAGAAGGGTATTGCATCAAGGCTGGGCAGCCCAGGCTTCAGGTGGGATGGCCTGCCATTGAGTGTCCCCTCTGCCCAAGTGAACCCAATCAAGATCTGTGGAACAGCCACGTGCCCAAGTGGAAGATCTGTGCTTTTGTGATAAATGGGCAGCCAGGTGGGAAGTAGGTTCTGGCTGGGCCAAGGTGGCAGGCACGCAATATAGCCATTCTGACTTGCAACCATGAAGTTAGTGTTGGCAGAGCTGGGCCGGCACAGGGCCTGCCTGACTCTAAGGTGGAACATCCTGTAAACTCATCACTTAGGAGATAGATGCAGGAGGATCGGGAGTTCAAGGTCATCCATGGCTACATAATAAGTGTGAGGCCAGCCTGGGCCACACAGACCCTGCCTAAAACAATTAAAGTACACCAAACAAAGATGGGCCTTTCCACCCAGAGCTGGGACCATGTGGCCAATGACCACTTACATCCTCTCTCTCCCCTCCCACTCAGGAGCCAGAACGCCAATTTCCAGAATCCCCGCTGTGAGAACACCCCCCTCATTGGGCGCGAGTCCCCACCGCCCTCAGTAAGTCTCAGGGCAGGAGGGTGGGTGGTGGGACCCTTGGGCTCCAGGGCTCTGCTGCTCTGTTGACTTGTTGCCATGGTACTGTGGTGTAGCTCCCACAGGCTGTAGTGTCAGGGCCTCTGAGTAGACAGGGCTGGGTGGGCCCGCCAGCTCTTGCCACCCTTGAGAAGCCTGGGGGTCGATGTGGGCAGCCTTGGGGTCTTGCTACACAGCAGGTCAGCCCTGGACCCTTTCTTGGATAGACAGGTGACCAGCAGGGCCCCAGTACTCTCTTCCCGTCTTTCTCCTGGGCTTCCCAAAGCCTTGGCTAGGCAACTCTACCCTCAGAGCAAACCGTGCTTGCTTGCTTCCTTCCTCCTCCCTCTCTCCCTTTTCTCTCTCTCTTCCTCCCTTCCTTCCTTCCTCCCTTCCTTCTTCCTTTCCTTCCTTTCCTCCCTCTCTCCCTATATCCCTCTCTGCCTCTTTCCTTCCCTCCCTCCCTTCCTTTTCCTGAACATCCACTCAGGTCTTCGCCCCAGGCTCCTTCAGCTCAGGCTGTAGGGAGTTGATACACAGACAGAAGGGGCAGATCTGGTGCCAAAGAGAAGGTACTGGTGCAAAGGTGGGGACCCTGGGGCTTCCCTGAGGGCAGGGCTGTGAGGACAGGACCTGAGAAGCTGAAGGAACATCACTGTGCATCAGTCACATTGCCCCATGGTCCCCCTAGCACAGGGCAGGGCCTGGGGTGCCCAGGACCTGGACCAGAGACTGTCAGACCCCTGTATCACACTGGGGTGCTCTCACCCTTGACCTTCAGCCCCATGGCCCACTTGGGGCCTGCCACACCTGGCATTGAGGACACCCCTCTCTCTCTCTCTCTCCTGCACCCCTCCCACCCTGGGCCCTCCTAGCGCTACCTGGCTGCCCTGGACTCTGGCAGCCATGCGGGCTGGCAATTTAAACCCATGGACAGCGCCCGAACGCTGTGGTAGCCGTGCCCTCAGAGTGACAGGTACTGACCCACCCAGCCCCTCATCCTGCACGGCTGCCCGCCTGTACCTCCATGCCTTGCGCCCTCCGCAAACCAACGTCTATCACCCCCTGCTCAAGGGTCAAAGGCCTCTAAAGTGTCCCTGAGCCCACTGGTCTCACAGCGAGCCCCATTCCAGGCTTCCTGACCCCCTACCCAGCAGCTCAGCTTCTGGGGAACTCTGCTACCAGCTGCAAATGGCCCAGCCCATCTTGTCACCCCAGGTCCCTGTGTGCATCTACCCTTGGATGCAGAGCTGGGCCCCTGGGCACGTGGCCCTGCATCTTGGCCTATGCACACAGGTGCACACAGATGTGCTTGTATGGGTGTGAAGCTCCACCCACTTGTCCCCACACAGCAGTACCTGCTTGGGCTCCTCCAGGCCTCTGGGCTACCATCGTCCATCCCATCCGAACTCCTGTCCCAACTCCCTGCTGCATGTCCATGGAATGACATGGCTCCGTACCACCGCTCCTCCCACCTATGTGCTGCTCGCAACCTTAATCTAGAATGTTCTGGGAGAGCACTCAGGGACCTAGGGAGCATTGTTTCTCTCATCTGGGGACTGTGGGGCCAGCCTGGGCTCCCTGGGGTGGGTGGGGCCTGCTGGGCCCCTGACTGCTGGTGATCTTTGCCCCTGCTACAGGCATGCAAGCTCTTTGCACACTGCCTGGCCTTGGCATGTGCTTTGAGGCCTATGTTCTCTGCATACACACACACACTTTCTCTCTCTTTCTCTCTCTCTCTCTCTCTCTCTCTCTCTCTCTCTCACTCTCGCTCTCTCTCTCTCTCTCTCTCTCTCTCTCTCTCTCTCTCTCTCTCTCTCTCTCTCTCTCTCTCTCCTCTCTCTCCCCTCAAACCTCTGTGTAGGGCCAAAAATGTATAGTCCATCTATAGAACAGGCAGTCACCTCTGTCCCCAAGTTGCACCCCCTGGAGGAGTCCACAGTTTGGTCCCCCAACCGAGTGGTGGGGTAGGCTTTCTCCAGCCTGGAACCCTCTCTATCCCTGGGGGTGATGGGGTTGAATGGATGGGGAGGAGGCTTAGGCTCCCAACTCCAGTGGGCTCACCAGCTCTGGGCTGGCTTCAAGTAAATCTGCCCTGGGGAGGCCTCATCTTGACCCTCTGAAGCAGAGGGCTAGGGTGGAGCCTGCGGAGCCTCCCAGGCTCTAGGCATGTGGAGTGTAGTTAGGGCTTTTGAGCTCAGCTCTTGAGGGTGGCAGGCCTCTGACAAATGGTTAGTGACAGTAGAACACTGGGCACTAAGTGTTCTTGTTTAACTGGAAAAGGTGGTTTAACTCTGTGCCTAGCCTGATTGTGGAGGCTCACTTCTTCCTGGCTTCTGTCACATCCCCTGTCTGTACTGTCCTTGGCCCAGACCCTGGAACAGCTGGCCCCTTCCTTTAGGACTCTGCCAGCCATGCACTGTGCTGCTATATTCTGCCCGCCAAGGGCCGGCCATGACCCACCCCACCAAGGATCTACATTAAGAAGCTGCTGGCTGCCCGGCCCTGCCCAGGAGCCCTGCTGACACTGCTGCCTCCCTTCCTCCCTCCCTTTCTCCTCCAGTACACCTCCAGCATGAGAGCCAAATACCTCGCCACGAGCCAGCCTCGCCCTGACTCCAGCAGCAGCGGGCACTAGACCGTGCACCAGCCAGCCACCCTGCCCCACGTGCCAATCACCCCACTTCTCCCGTGCCAGCACTGACTGCTGCTTCCACCCCATGGCCACCCGCTGGACCCTCTGCACGCCATGCCACGCCAGGCCATCTCTGGGCATATCTGAGGCCTCTGCTCTCCCCTCCCTGCAGGGGGCATGGAGGTGCCAGCCTGAGAAGTGAGGCTGCTGGATCGCACACCTGGACAGACACTGCCTCCAGCAACCCGGCCCTGCCTGCCTGTCTCCCCTCATCCCTCCACCCTCTTGGATTCTGAGCCCTGCTCTGTGCCAGGTGCTTCCGTCCCTCTGCAGGTGACCCTCCATGCTGTGCCAGGCACTCCACGCGCCTCCTTCCCTCCAGCAGCTCCATGTCTTTCCTGGTGTCACCCTGGCCCCTGAGGGTCACTTCGTTCACAGGCAGCAGAAGGCCCTGTGCCTGGCGTCCCTGCCTCTGAGTGGGTCCAAGCTTACCTGTTCATCTCTGCTGTGTGGGTCCTCCACACACACTGGTCACTTCTCAGAGCTGCCTCTAGAATGGAGCTCTTCCTACACTTCCTGCCCAGCACGGCTCTTTCCCTCAGCACCCAACCTGCCCTCTCCTGGACAGCAGATGCCACGCAGAGCCCAGGTCACTGACTGGCCTCAGTGCTGGCCACCGTCTTGGCGCCAAACCCTCTTTCCTGCTCTTGAAGAGTGGCAGCTTCATCCAGTTTGTTTTTGCACTAACCACATTTGTCATCTCCAGAGCAGGCTGGGGCACAGGTGGAGTGGGACACTGCCCCCTTCCCATCCTCCTCTGTTCCATTCCCACCCAGGACAGGCGAAGTGCCCCTGGATCCCAGCCTGGACCCGAGTTGGCTGTGAATGTGCCCTCAGCCTCAGAATGCCCCTGTTGGGACTAACCACTAACCTCACTCCCAGCCTCCATGGGCATTCCTGGCTGACCCAGAGCCAGTAAGCGTGACCCCAAGTCTACCCTGGAGCCAAGGGCCATGACAGCTGGCTTGGAACCAGGGCTGGAGTTGTCATTTCTTTGTGGGGTGCTGTTGAGGAGGGGCCGCAGACCAATAGGCAGCCCAAAGGGCTTAGAGACCCCTCCCCGGGCAGGTGCTGCCCCAGGAGAACCATGTCCTCAGAAACAAGCATCCTGGGGACTTTGGACTAAGGCCCTTGTGGCCTCAGTCCCCTGACCTGTGAAGTGGGAGCAATGTTTCCCTAAGGTGCTTTTGGCTTTAGTGTATGATGTTTGCTGTGCTTCCTGCCGTGGTGGCAGAATCAGCCCCCAAATTAGGACTCAGAGCCTCTACCCTGGTTAGCCCTAGCCCTGGCCCAACTAGCCAGTGCAAGCTCTGGCTTGTGGGCCAGGAGCAGGGGGAACTGGAGGGCTGTGGGTCAGTGTGTGGGGGCCAGGGCTGGGGCCCTGTGGTAGGAGGTGGTTTACAGACCTGTGGTTCTTACTGGAGCAGCCTGGCAGCTACATACCCCCAAAACCACAGGCTTCAACTCCTCCCTGGGGGAGGCTCCACCTTTCCTTCCTCAACCCCTTCTTTTGTGCTGGTGTCTGGGACCAAAAGGGGGCATAGACGGAACTGACTGACTCACTGGGCATAGGGAGCCAAGCTTGGGCACCTGTGCCCCCTGGCCATGACCAAACCTCAATGGAGAGGGACTCTGCTCTTGGCCCCAACTGGCTGGCTTCAGGAACCCATGGGGCCATTGAGGCCCAGTTTTAACCAGCCTGCCTGCCATGGGCATGTGCCAGGCTGCAGGTCCAGAGGGAGGCATGGGGCGCTCCCATCTGGGTTCCTGCATGCACCCTGGGGCCTCTCAGAAGCACAAACGATGCCCCTGGCCTAGAGCTGGCCACAAGGTGAATGTATATAGCATGAGAGGCGGGCTCTGCCCAGATGTGGCTGTGAACTTGTGCTGTCTTGGGAGTCCTGACCGTTGTGTGCGTGCGTGCCCCCCATGTGACTTTTCACTCAGAGGCTGAAGGAAAAAGGGGGAATAAGGGGGCTCCCACCTGACCTCCATGAGTGGCAGCTCCTGCCGTCAGTGTATTATTCTATTTGGTTTTTCTGAATTTTGGGTGCCACTTGCCTAACTACCCCATCCCCGTGACCACTCCTCAGCTCTGGGAGGGAGGGCGGGCAGATCAGGTCTAGTTGGCCTGTGATCAGTTCTCCACTCTTGCCTGCTCTAGGGGTACAGAATCAAGAGGGCTGAGCCAGCAAGCCAGACCCAGGTCCCAGGCCAAACTAGGAGGAGGGGTCCTGCCGGGACCCTGGGACTGGTGGCCACCCCCATCCTGGTCCATGTGAGGCAGGATTGCCTGGCCTAGAGCAGCCTTTAGCCCCTCCCCTAGTGCCCACCCACCCCATCTCACTATGCAATTCCTGGCCCCAGCCCCATCCCCTGCTCTACCCAGGTCCTTGCTCTGCCCAACCTAGGAGGTTAGATGGCAGCTCCTGGACCTCCGGTGACAGGGTCTTTTTTTCTTTTGAACCACAATGGTGGTGTGCCATGCCCTTTCTCCTACATATGATTTTTGTGAGACTCACCTCCCCCTGCCCGCATCTGCCCCTTGGTGGACGTCATCTGAGCCGAACCAGCCCCGCGCCCCCCCTCTAGCCTCCGTAGGGCCATGGCTGTGTTACTGTTGCTGTGTTTTCATTTTTTAAAACAGGGGGTTTAATTTTTATTTCTTTGGGAACTTTATTTTTCTTGGCAAATAACTGAAGTTCTTGTCCATGTAATTTCTGTGGTTTCTATTCAGCTTGGGTTTCATGTTTTGAAATAAATAATTTCAAAAAATAGGTCTCTTTTCCTGAATTGGCCTGGAGGGTCGGGAGCAGCAGGCTGCACTCAGGGTGGCCAATGTGTGTGCAGGCTGCAGCTCAGGTTGGGGGACACTGGAGTGGTGAGGTGAGGTGGGTGGGGGGACATGTTTAGTATGACCAGGGGAGGGGAGGGACCATATGGGCTGGACCCAGTCCTCAGTGAATGCGTGGGAACCATTGGGGTGAGGTGGGGCCTCATTGGAGTTGGTAGCTGAGTTTGGCAGGGCGTCAGGGTGGGTGGAGTCACTAGGGGCCAAGCAGCCTGGATCAGAGCCCTCTCTGATTGGGCAGAGCCCAGTGGGATGGGAACATGGACTCACTGGGTGGACCAGAAGTGGGGGACAGACAGATACAGGGAAAGTTAGCCTTGCATTTCCCACCCCAGAGGTCTTGCAGGAACTGGGATGAGAATTGAAATTCTGAGCAAAAGTGACTACATGTGTCCCAGTGTAGGCATGGTAGAAGGGGCTGAGGGGCCTCTTGGAGTTATAGTGGATCACCAATGGACTTTCATCTTTTTAGTAGCCATACAGAAGAAGGTTTTGAGAGCTGGAGAGATGGCTCAGCAGTTAGGAGCACTGGCTGCTCTTACAGAGGACTGGGGGTCGATTCCCAGCACCCACATGGCAGCTAACAACTGTCTGTGACTTCAGTTCCAGGGGATCAAATGCCATCTCTGACTCTGAGGGCACTGGACGACACAGGTATACTTGTATACATGCAGACGACACACATAAAGTAAGATAGTAATATTTTTTTGGTCTTCTTGAGACAGGGTCTCCCTGTAGCCCCAGCTGTCCTGGAACTCACTATGTAGACCAGGCTGGCCTTGAACTCACAGAGATCCGCCTGCCTCTGCCTCCCAAGTGCTAGGACTAAAGGTGTGCGCCACCATGCCTGGCTAGTAATTTTTTTAAAAAGAATTTTTGAGTACAGTATTGTACAGCATCTCAATAGACCCTCCACTCCCTATGGGTAGGAATGAGGGGTCTTGGTTTCCTCTGAGAAGTAGGTTTAGGACGCGAACCCAAGGTCACCAGATAGTCTTTTTTTCCTGCCCTCAGTATACATTAGCAACTTTTCCTAGTGTTTCCCAACTGGACTTTGACTCCAGAGAAGGGACTTAGGACAGGAGAGAGATGAAGGGGGGCAGCTTGCCCACCATGGAAGCTAGCCTTCAGACTCCGGAAAGAATGTTCCTGTCCAAAGAGTGTGGAGGCCCAGGGGCAGATAAGTGTTTGTCCGCTGAATCAAGCAAGGGAGGTGAAGTGAAGGGCTGGAGATGAGGCTCAGTACTAGTGAGAGTGCTGTGTAGCACAGGAAGTGAAGTAAGCAGAGTGGAGGGGTCAAGGAGGAAGATTGGAATGGAGCAATCCTCAAATGTCGGGGGGCCTTTGTAGGGGCTCAGATGCTTATGAGAGAGGTGGGAACCACAGATGGTCTATACTGAGGGGCTAGAGGCATGGCTTGGTGCTAGAGCACCTGCCTGGAATCCTCCAGAGAAGGGCTAGGGGCATGACTCAGTGGTAGAAAACCTGCCTGGAATCCCCCAGTGTGGGACTTGGCTTTAGCGATAAAGCAGCTGCCTAGAATTCCTCGGTGATGGACTAGAAGTGTGGCTCAGTGGTTGAGGACCTGCTTGGAATCTCCCAATGAGGAACTAGGGGTGTGGCTCAGCAGTAGAGCATTGACCTGACATACGCAAGGCCCTCCCCAGTGCCACTAATAAATAAGTAAACAGGAAGCAAGGTGATCAGAGAGGGTTGGGGAGGAGAGCAAGGGGTTGCAGGAGGATGGGGTGGATCCTGAGGTCCAGGTTCTCAAACTCGAAGTGAGACTAGCCTGAGGTGGAAGTTGCTTTTCTCCATAAACATGTAGCTGCCTAGAGCAGACCAGTTGTGACCATGTTCTAGGTATAGGCCTGGCCCATAGGAGAAGACAGCAAGCACAGCCAGGGGAGTTGACTGAGGCTACATGCTTGGCTGTGAAATCCCAGTCACATGAGGACAAGCCTTGGATGGGGTCAAAGGATTGGAAGGATCCTTAGGGTCAGGACATGTTGGGGGGAGAGCTGCCACAGGAGGCAGGGAGGGCAGAGGGCTGCAGGTGTGGTACAAGCAAGGCCTGAAGAGTCACCATAGAGTTGGGGCCAGGTGGGGAGGCACCGTGGGCACCAAGATCTCCAAGAAAGAATGCAGGTAGTGTGATTTCAGGTCTCAGGAAACTGAGGCTGGAGGCTCAAAAATTCAAGACCAGGGGCCGGGAGATGGCTCAGTTAGTAAACTGCTGTGCAAGCAGGAAGACCTGAGCCCAAATCCCCAGCACCTATGTAGAAAGCTGGGTGTGGTGGCTCATGCCTGTAACCCTAGCACTAGGAAGGTGCAAACATGAGGCTCTTTCAAGCTCACTGGCCAGTCAGTGTAGCTGAATTGGTCAGCTCCAGGTTCAGTGAGAGACCTTGACTCAAAGTGTCAAAGTGGAAGGCTGGTGAGACGACTCTGCTGGTAAAGGCACTTACCACCAAGCCTGACAACCTGAGTTTGATCTGTAGGACTCAAATAGTGGAAGAGGAGGACCAACTCCCATAAGTTGTCCTCTGACACCAACAAGTAGGCCATGGCACACTTTACACATACATACACGCCTTTAATTTCCACCATTCAGGAGGCAGAGGGAGGCAGGTCTCTATGAGCTCCAGCCAGCATTTTCTATATGCGTTGTAGATCAACTAGAGCTACACAGAGACCCTGTCTCATATGTAGAGCAATAGAGGAAGATACCTGATGTCCACCTCTGGCCTCCATACATGTGCAACCCCCCCCCCCACACACACAGTTCAAGGCCAGCCTGAGCTACATAGGAAGACTGCCTTAAAAAAAACAAGAGACTGGCGAGATGGCTCAGAAATTAAGAGCATCAGCTACTCTTGCACAGGAGCTGGGTCTAGTTCCCAGAACCCACAGTTAACAGCCATCTGTAACTCCAGTTCCAGGGATCTGACGTCCTCTTCTGGCCTCTATGGTCACCACATGCACATGGTACACATACATACATGCAGGCAAAACACTCATAAAAATAAAAATAAAATAAATATAAATATAAAAATAAAATAAATAAAATAAAAATAAAATAAATAAATTAAATAAAATAAAAATAAATAAAATAAAAAATTAACAACAGCAGATCTCCCTGGAGCCAGAGGGCTGTGGATACCCATGGTGGGCAGCAGGTGATATGCTCCGAGGAGCTGACAAACAGCAGAGGCTGCACTTTGGGGGCCCCAAAAAGGGGGTCAGGGAGCCGTGTGTCGGCAAGTATCCAGCAGGGGGTGCTATCTCCTCTCAGGTGGTCTGAAGCAAGGCTCCTGGAAAGCAAGGGTCCACTAGGGGGTGTAATCAGGTGGATTTTGGGCTTCCCAACAGTCTGTAGTCAAAGTGCCCAGAGGTTCTGGTGGGGTTCAGCTGGCACAGAACTGTGTTGGGGAGGATGTTTCTAGCACGTGCTGCTTGAGGAACCCTGCCCAAATCCGGCCTAAGGCAGCACTGGAGGCTCACACTGGAATGCTCATGCTGCATGAATCAGACTAATGGACGGGGATGTAGCTCAAGTGGTTTGAGCATTTGCCTAGCACATGTGTGAACCAAAATGAAAAAAAGGAAATAAATCAGACATTGTAGAATATATTTAGTCTCTTGTGGACCTTTGAGGGGCAAACAGTCCTGCAGCCCTGTCTCTCCTGTCCCTGAGGGTTACATCTCTAGATCCAAGGGCGGGGTCTTACAAGATGGGATTTAGGTGAAAAGTCACCAACTGTGGCCACCAGGGGGCGCCCAAGGGCCACGGTGGGTCGTATGGAGGAGGCAGAGGAGACCTGGACAGGGGTAGTAGTGGGGCGCCTGGTTGAGCCACTATGCCCAGCTATTTATTTTATTTTTTTAGGTAGTCTCATATAGCCCAGGCTGGCCTTCAACTCTGTGTATCCAAGGATGACCTTGAACTCCTGAGCTGCCTGCCCTCACCTCATGAGTGCTGGACTTACATGTGTGCACCATGTCTAGTGCTGGGGTTCAAATTCAAGACTTTGTACATGCTAGGCAAGCTCTCCACTGAGCCACATCCCCATGAAAGCAGAAGTGGGATTATCAGAGAAAAGGAAGAAGACTGTCCAAGTGGTGGGAGGAGAGGGTGGAAGGGATGAATATGGCCAAAGTATATGATATACCCGAGTGAGACTTTACAAATTGATTTGTGTGGACAGTGAATATATGCCAGTAAAAAAAATAAAAGTCAAGCAGGGCAGCCGGAAATGGTGATGCACGCCTTTAATCCCAGCACTTGGGAGGCAGAAGCAGGCGATCTCTGTGAGTTCCAGGCCAGCCTGGTCTACATAGTGAGTTCCAGGACAGCTGGGGCTACAGGGAGACCCTGTCTCAAAAAGACCAAAAAAAAAAAAAAAAAAAGTCAAGCGGGGCTTGGTGGCACATCTATGTAGACCAAGCTGGCCTTGAACTCAAGAGATCTGCCTGGCTCTGTGTCCTGAGCACTTGTATCAAAGGTGTGCACTACCACACACACACACACACACACACACACACACACACACACACACATATATAATTTGTGTGTTTTAAATCAAATCATCAAAAAGAAAAAAAAGTGGATTTGGGAGTAGATTGGCTTAGTGGGGTGTGCCACAGGCCTGGCCAATTAATCTGATAAACAAGTCTGTCTATCCTCAGCTTCCTGCTTCCCCCTGAAACCTGTGGCCCAGAATGCAGACTGAAGCCTTTCAGTAGGGCCTGCCTTCTGCCACCTGAGTTTGGGCCAGCTGGAGCCAGGAAAGTCTGAGAGTCTCAGCTGCACTGCTCATGGCACCCTCCAGCCTCCCACTGACCACCCCCTCCCACCACCCCACCAACCCCCACCCAAGGCATACCGTTGCCTAAGCTGTGCCAAGCTAGGACACCCCCACAAGCTCACTGGCTTAGGCACACACACAGTGGTTTTGACCTTCCGGCTCCTGCAGTGAGGCACCTCTTCTAGGAAGTCAGCCCTGCTGACCCCATTGGGAGGGAAGTTGAAAGTTTCAACCCCGCCCCACAGGGCCTCCACCAGACCCAGCTCAACTGGCCTTGGCTGCAACAAACTACTCAGAGCAGAAACTGGTGTTGGGGGCTGCATTCTACACCCTCCTTGACACCCAGGAGCTTACAATTGCAGTTTTATTTTAGTTTTCTGAGACAGGGTCTCCCTGTAGCCCAGCTGGCCTCGAACTTACCAGGCTGGCTTCAGTCTCACAAGAGATCTGCCTGCCTCTACTTCCCAAGTGTTGGGACTAAAGGCTTGCACCATCACGCCCAGCTTTTTATTTCTGTAGCCCAAGCCAGTCTTTAACTCTCAGTGGTCCTCCTGCCTCTACCTCCCAAGAGCTGGGATTACAGGAAGGAGCTACCACATCTGCCCGGCTTGCAATTTGGCTTTTGACAATGATGGGTGGGTGATTTGAGGGGGCACCTTCTGATCCCCTAGCCTAGTTTATGCATTGCTGGGAAGGATACCTCCAGGGGTAGTGGGAAATAACTATCCCCAGAATGCACTTGGAGGAGAAAGAGCCCTTGTGTGCCTGGGTGATTGACCTCTGCGTAAGAGGGGTCTTTCCTCAGGTCCTGACGGAGGTGGGTGGAAGTCAGCTTGCTCTCCCTTCTGAGGGACAGCCTCCCTGGTCATTTTCTCCCTGGGAAACACTGAGGTTGCTGTTTGTGCCCTTCTTGGGACCCTTCCCACCTACTCCCATTTCTGGTATTTATTTTATTGTATGTGTATGTATGCCTGCTTGTCTTATGTGCACCACATTCATATGGGTGCCTGTGGAGACCAGAAGAGGGCGTCAGATCCTCTGGAACTAGAGTTCCCACAGGTGAGCTGCCCGATGTGGGTGCTGAGAATGGAACCCAGGTCCACAAGAGCACTGCTGAGATCTTTCCAGGCCTTCTCAAATGATCCTTTTGAAAGGGGGGGGGGGTCGGGGGGCGTCTCACTAGGTAGCCCAGGCTGGTCTTGATTCTCTTACCTCAGCCTGTTGAATACTGGGATTAGAGGCTGTGCCACACTGGACTCCCACCCTGAGCCTTGTTGCTTTGCTGACTCTTCAGGTTCCTGGGTGTTTAGACCCATGATGATGGACCGATGGTTCTAACTCCAAATCAAACTCCACCCTAACTGGGGCTCACACTGCCTGCCAGAGAGGCTATCTAGGCTACAGGTCACAGGTCATGCCTTGCCCTGTGCTTGCCAGCTCGGTGGGGAGGATGATGCTAGCTGCAGGAGGCTATTCGAGGGTCAAGGAAGAGGGCACTGGGCCTCTGAGTCACCCACACAGGAAGGAGGCCCACAGCCTGTTCCACTGTGACATCCCCCCACCCCACCCCCAGCAAATATCAACTTCCTTATCCAGAAGTGGGGCCCTGAGCCACCTATCAAGCCCTGTATAGGGTTGACACTGAGGACATTGGCAGCTGAGTCTCTAATTGAGGGAGAGGTCAGGCAGTGAGTGTTCCCCAACCCCCACTTCACAAACCTTAGGCAGCTGCCCCAAACCTTGGTAAGCCACATTGTTAACTCAGGGCTAAGGTAGAATCAGGCCCTGGCCAGTGGCTCCCAAGATAGAAGCAGCCACCACTGAGGACTCTTGAGCCTGCTTGAGGGTACAGAGCCCATAAATATGAGCATGTGCCTTAGTTGGGTGGGATGGGGAGGGGAGGGGAAGGACAGGTCTTCATCAGAGGGGGCCAGGAGATAAGCACCTTTCAGGAGCTCTGCTTGTTTGATCCAGACAATCGGGACACAGGTGGCAGGCTGTGGAGACCAGGAGCCCCAGGTGGGACCAGGGTCAGGCCAAACAAGCCCCCATAGAGCAGCAGCAGGTAGCAGCAGTAGTCTTGGGAGCCAAGGGAGGTGTTGGGGTTCGGTGTGAAGAGGAGGAAGTGGGGAGGCTGCAGGAAGGGGGGGTGGGGTGGGAATTCCCCTTGCTCAGCTGCCCTCCAAGGCTGAATTTGAGGAAGGCCCCTGCAGAACCTCAGAAGGAAGCTGAGTTCTTGCCCAGCTCAGCTGTGCCCAGCCTGAGCACTGCCCATCCTCAGAGGACTCCTCCAAGCTCCCCAGATGAGAGGCTAGGCAGTATTGACAGCATACTGGAAAAATGAGGCCCAAGGGCTTGTCTGACCTAGGACATTCCAATTACAGGCATAGCCCTGAACCTTAGTTTCCCTTATCTGTAAAATGGGTCTCTGGTGGGATTGTGGCCCTGATGGAAACTGGGTAAGGGAAGATCCCAGGCTAGGCCACAGCAGCACTGTTCCTCTGACAGAAAGGCCTAAACTCCTCTCTGTCTCAGGCCAGGCCAACACAGGCTGAGGCTCCAGTAGCTGAAGGCTGTGACCTGACTCACTACCTCCAACAGCCCTGGTCATCCAAACCTACCCCCAACCCCCAGGAAACATAATATGAATCTACCAATCTATGCTGGGCTGGTCACACCATCTATTTTTTCGAGACAGGATCTCACCATTTATCCCAGGCTGGCCTGAAACTCCTATGTAGACCAGGCTGGCCTGGAACTCACAGAGATCTGCCTGCCTCTACCTCCCAAGTGCTGGGAACGAAGGTGTGTGCCACCACACCCTGCCCTATACTTCATCTATTTTAACACCTCAAGTTTCCTTCCTTCCCAAATAGTTGGCTTGTGGGATTCCTATTCACTACCTTCTCGTGGTGGGATAAGCCAGCCTCACCTAAGTGCCCCAAACCTCTGAAGCCACCTTGACAGACAGGTGGTATAGGCCCAACTCTCAACCAAGACTAGGGTCCAGCAGGGTTGCTGCAAAGAACACCTTTATTCAAAGGATGTCACCATAGCAACAACAACTCAAGTCCCTGAGCGCTTTTCCCTTATAGTGTGCTTGCCTAGCTAGGTCCTTGCAAAGAGAACACAAAACACAGCAGTGGGCGGGGGGCAGGTCTTAGGGTGCTAGGGAGGCTGGCAGGGGCACGGGAGGGGGTAAGCAGGATTCCAGATACTGGAAGGTATAAATATAGCATTAGGATAGTCCTGGGTCCAGTTTTCCAAAGGCCAAGTCCGTTTGGCTTCTGCTTTTTCTGATCCACAGAAAAGATAAAATAAGACCCTCCCCCTGCCCACCCCTGAAAACAACCCCTTAATCTCCTTTTAGACCCACCCCCTCCCATTTCATAAAACAGCACAGTAAAAAAAATACTGTCACAATATTTACAGACACGCCCACTATGGGTGACTTTCTCTCTACTTTGGAGAGGAGATAAAATTCATAGCTCTGTCTCCCCCTGACTCTGGGGAGACAAAGGCAGGACCTCAAGGAGGGGCCATGAAGACTGCACCCTCACCCAGGAGGGTAGGGAGGGGAGCACTGTTCACTACCTGGATGGCCACTGGGGGCTACATGGGGACCCCTGGCACTGGGCAATGCCCAGGCCAGAACTCATAGGAGCTCAGATTTGACTCCCCAAACTAGCTTCCCTGGTGCTGGGCATGGCTCAGCTGTACTGGGGTTTCTGGTAGGGAAGGATTCAGGTAGGTAGGTGCTGGTACTCCAGTATAGAAACTGTGCTGCAAAACAGCACCCCTGCAAGGAGCCCCAAGGCCCCCAACTGCAGAGATCCAAACAGTTACCACAGAACTGCCCTCAGAGTGTAGAAAAATTGGCCAAGGGCTCATGTGCCAGTCCCTGAAGAGCAGGACTGCCCAGCAGTCTGCTGTATGGGTGGGCACGCCACACACACACACACACACACACACACACACACACACACACACAGGCACAGCCCTCAGGAGCCTCAAACACCAAGGCCAGGGCATAGGACACAGGGGTCCCTGGGCCCTTTGGATACCAGGGGCGTCCAGGGACAGGATCTCAGTCACAACTGCTAGAAGATGGCGGTGCGGGGACACCAGGGTGTGTCCGGGTACAGGTGGCAGTGGATAGAGCGGAACCTGTGAGGACAAAGCAGAGAGCTGGTCTGTGTGGGGTGGGGGTGTACAGACCTGACAGCATCAGTGGGGTTCCTTGGGGCCCCCTCTATGGAATCCGGAGGTTCAGGGGTGATGGACGATCCTCTGTAAGCCCAATGGGTCTCAGTTTCCTCACCTGGATGGATCAGCCTCCACAGAGAAGGGCCCCTTGATAGGTACAGAATTCCGTTTGTTTTCAAACATGCCATAGCTCAGGGTCACCTGTAGGGGGAGCAGTGGAGTGATGCTGGAGAGGCAGCCGCCTCACCTGGCCACTCCTGCCGTTCTTCCTTGGACTAAGGACACCTGGGCTGTCTACCTAGGGATGAAGTCCAGAGTGGGGGCTACAGCCCTGAAGAAGAAAGAACAGGTACATTCCCCCAAAGGACAGGATCAGCATCTGAGTCTATTTTATGTGAAGCTGGAGCTTGAACCCAGGGTGCCTTACACGTACAGGTAAATGTTCCCACTGAACTACATCCCTGGCCCTGGACCAGCAACTTGGAATGAAGTGTGTTACAGTGGTGGAAAGCTCCCAGTGTCTGCTGAAAATGGACAGTGGGGTCTTTCTGATACCCCTATTTAAAACTGTGACCAGCCAGGGTGCATACCCTTAATCCCAGCACTCGGGAGGCAGAGGCAGGAAGATCTTTGTGACTTTGAAGCCAGCCTGGTCTACAGCCAGCCTGGTCTACATTGCAAATTTCAGGCCAGTGGGGGCTACAGGGAGACCCTGTCTCAAAAACAAACAAAAACAATAGTGACCACAGGCTGGAGATATGGCTCAGTTGGTAGAGTGCTTGTCTAGCATGCAGGAAGCCCTGGGTTTCATCCCTAGCATTGCATAAACTGGGCAAGGTGGTACACACCTGTAATCCTAACACAGGCAAGAGGATCAAGAATTCAAGGCCATCTTCCCCTACCCAGGGAGTTTGAAGCCAGTCTGGGTTTCATGAGACCCTGTCTCTAAATACATACATACATACATACATACATACATACATACATACATTTGACCCTGAATCAGGTGTGGTGGCCCATGTCTGTAATTGTAGCACATCAGAGGTTGAAACAGATTGAGGCCAGCCTATGCTACATAGTGAAACCCTATCTCAAAAAGAACAAAAAAATACAAACTGTCCCCATCCTTGGAGTTGCCTCTTCCCTCCTGTCCCTGTTGAATGGGGGGGGGGCATGCACACCTGTTCATGGAGCTCGGTGGCAGGCACCTGCTGCAGGTTCTCCAGATGTGAGTGGAAGAGGCTGCTCCGGATGAGAGGCACACCAAGCAAGGCTTCAATGATGTAGCCAATGGTGCAGTCATCTGGAAGCCGGATCCGCTCCGCTGTGCTCATGAAATGGCCCCCACTGCAGGAGGGAAGGGCCCGGGGGACAGTAAGCAGAGGTTGGGAGGGGGGTGGACAGGACCCTGCCAAACTAGACTCAGAGAGGGGGTAGCAGTCCATGCTCTGTGTCCTTTAAGATGATTCTTCTGCCTATGGTCTCCTCCCTCTGTGAGCCATAGCTTCTCCATACCAAGGAGTCTCACCCAAGGGTGCTCTGGGCAGGGCAATGGTAGGAATAGCTATAAACACAGCTGCCTTTGGACATTAGAGGGAAGGAGGACTGGGAAAGCTAAAAGGGATGAACCCAAGTCAAGCCCTGAGGTGGCACACCCCAGCCTCTGGACCCCTTGTTGTGTGGACAGCCTACCCTGTGCAGGGGGCACTCACCTGGCCCATGGGCCCATCTTCAGGGCCAGCCCTCGGCTGATGCAGAAGCCAGCCCCACCGGTGGCAAACCAGAAGTGGACAGGTCGCTGGAGGAAGCGAAAATGTCTGTCAGGAGACTCCTGGGGACTCCCAGGCTACAAAGGTGATTTTAGTCCCTTCCTTTAACGCCTTCGGGTGGGTGTGACTGAGACAGCAGGGGGAGACACTCACCACCTTGTGCTCACTGATTCGCTCAGTGGCCTGGATGGGCCGATCCAGGCTGGGCTTGCCAATGTACACGTCTTGGGTGTGGGGATAACTGGCCAGCAGCCTCAGCAGGGCCCGCAGGTTGACATAATTATCATCGTCCACATGGCAGAACCACCTGAGAATGGGGCAAGCTGAGGTCAGAGAGGGTACCCAGGGGTGGGGACGTCAGGGAAGGGGTATGAAGGGGAGATGGCGGTATGTGGGGACAACTCACTTCTTCCCTGACTCAATGAAGTGGTCATATTCCACAGCCATCTTGCAGGACAGAGCCTGGCGACTGTGGGCCGCTGAGCAGTTGGTGAGTACCACATTGCCTGTGGGTAAGGGAGAGACTGTGAGTTGCTGTGGGCCTCACCACAGCAGCCCGCCCCCCAGGACAGCCACCCCTACCCATTCATTCATCCAGCTTTTTCCCAGTACCCACCACCTGTTGCTGCTTACGTTGCTCAAAGGGCCCCCAGCAAGACTGAAAGGGGCTCTTTTGCATAAGAATCAGGGGCTCCTGGAGTGGAGGGGCCGGGCTTGAAGCAAACCCACAAAGTAAACTGCCCTCCTAGTCCAGCAACCTGTGACCTCTCGGCCCCAGGGGTTCTGGAGAAGGGGTTGCTGGGGACCAGACCAGACACAGCCCACCCCCTCCCTCCCCAAGCCAGGGCCTCACCAGTGAGCCTGGCCAGAACTTCGTCCTCCCCATCGGTGAAGATGAATGTCTGGAAGGAGAAATGGGCCCTTGAGCATGCAGCTCCCTGTCCCCCATCAGGGCCATAGCCCAAGACCCTGGAGTTCCCTCAGCAGAGGGTCTATACTCCTCCCCTACCCTTTCCTCCTAGGCCTGGTTTCCCCACTGCACACAGAGTGGAGCTCAGGAGCCCAGGATGAGTGGCAGCTGGGCTGGGGGTGGGGACGACTGCTCCCCAACCTGGACAGCTGGGCCCAAGGTCACAGGCAGCTGGGAGGCACGAGCCAAATGGGGTGCCCCACCTACCCACCAGGTAACCAGCAGCGCGCTAACCCTCCCGACAACCCATGCACCTGGTGAGGCACACACCCTTATTGACACAGGGCCTGCCTGCCTATCCAGCCTGCAGGCTTCCAGGGTTTGGGAGGGGGCGGGGGACAAGAGGAGGAGGTCGGCTTTGGGAAGCTGAGCCTCACTCACTAGGGTCGGGGACAAAGGCCTCTGCTGGGCGGCTGCCAAGCCCTTGGCAGACAAAGAGCCCCGGAGGGAGGATGAATCACCAGCCATTGTCAGCCAGCTTTGTCCTGGGCCGGGACGGCCTTAACTCGGCCGAGTTAAGCAGGAATGGCCGGGCTGTCATTTCCATACAGCTGGCCTGGTTAACTGGGCTGGCTGGGCAAGAGGTCCTGTGCACAACGGGTGTAGCCATTGGCCATACAGCACTCCGGCCAGGCCAGCCCCCCCGCCCCCCGCTCCCTCACCCTGCTTGTGTGCCCCCTAGGACAGGTTTCCCCAAGCCCCAGCACCCTGCCAGGTTCTATGAGATCACCAGTGGTCAGTGTATGGGTAATGGGAAAGAACTCAGAGTCCCTAGGCCTGCATCAGGGCAACCCTACAGCCCAGCTCAGGAGAGAAAACCTCTCCACACTTGCAGACCGCCTAGCCCAAGGCCACAGCCAAGACTCCACCTGCCCCGGCACAGGGCCACCCCCTGCCAGCCAGGATTGCTCTGCGGAAGAGGAGGGGGGCGCCGGGGCGGGGCCAGGAGCTGCCGGCGCCCGCCTGGGCCGGTCGGCACACGGGAAAGAATGTTCCTTCCTCCGCTGGCCCGCCCAGCGCGTGCCGCCTGCCGCACCCTGGCATTGCAGAGTTTAAGCCTGGAGCAGATTGGGGGATGCTCTCTGGAGGGACGGTAGGAACCCCCCCCCCCACACACCCCTGCCAGTACGTTTCCTTTTGTGCAGAGATATCAAGGAGAATCCAGTGTGCAGTCCGGAGCCCAGCACAAACCCAGCCACCTGGGGAACCTCCCCCACCCCAGTCCCCTCCCCCAAGAGGGGTGCACCACAGGCCCTGGACATCTAGTTCTTTGCCTAGGTTGACCCCAGACGCAGGTGCCCATTCCAGTAAGGCCCAGAGGTACAGATGCAACAGGTGGGGTCTAACCATCTGCACGCATGCACCCCTCTTTCTAGGGCTCTGCAGACACCTGGGGCAGCCCACACGCACAGACTCGCACCCAGCACCCCCTCCCTGCACCCTAGCATCTCAGCCCAGGAATGCCGTGGGAGGTGCAGCGGGCCGGCCTGAGCAGAGGCTCCAGTGCCGCTGGATTAAAGGGAAAATGCTTTTTTAATGAGATCAAGAGGGGCCTGTTCTCCCGCGCTTCAGCAGTGTCCTAAAAACCCAGCCCAAGGCTACAGAGATTAAAGTCACCTTTGTTCAGAGGAGGGGAAGTGGGGGGGGAGCAGGGAGGCAGGCAGGCTAGGGAGAACAGTCCTTGAGGGGCAAGGCTGAGGGTGATGCTGTCTCCCCACTTGAGAGGACAGGGGCAGGGGCTACACCTGTGGGCCTCACTCAGCCTTGAGTCTGTAAAATGGGTACAACAGAGCTCTCTAGTGCAGAGCTGAGTACTGGGGAACAAACTCTCCTCTCCCTAGCAGAGCAGGGAGACCAGACAAGAGTGGTCACCAGCCTGTGGCCACACCCCAGGAAGAAATGGTACCTTCTTGGGACTCGCACCCCCCCACCTCAACTTCCCTGAAAAAAGACCATCAGAGTTGGTGAGGGCAGGCGAGTGGGGGACACCCACAGGAAGTAGCATTGTTCCTGGAGCCAGGATTCAAAGAAACACAGGATGCCAAGTTCTGCCCCAGCTATTGTGGCCAGTGGCGGTGGCAGCCTGCAGCCAGGCATGCTCCTGAGTGGTGGGGGAGGAGAGGGCCCACCAGAGACCAAGTTTCTTCCCCCTCCCCCAATGAGCAGCTTCCCCATCTCCCCAAAGGTTGCCTGTTTCTTGTGCAAACTCATAATTGTGCTTGAATCCTTGGGGCCAGGATTGCCCTTCTGACTTTGAGTCAGAGCCACCACCTACAGGGAGCCTTCCCTCCTCTCAAGTCCAACCTCTCAGCTCACAAAACAGACTAAGACAGCAGGCCCTTTGCAGCAAACTCCAGGGACCCCTGCAAGAGGGGCACTGCTTGCCATGTGCACGTGAGCTGATGTAGAGGACAGATCCCATCCTCTTCTTGGTGGTGGGGACCCCTTCTCTGAATGTGTGCTGGGTTCACTCCAAACCTCACAAATGAGACAGTCCTCTTTTACAACACCTTATTAGAAGACAATGTTTCCCCTTTTCAGAGACCAAGAGACAGAGGGTCAGAGAGGCCCTAAGGTTTTGCCCAGCTGAGTCCCCAAATCTTAAAATGAGAAGGGAGATAGATGCTATGAACATTGCAGGAGGGCTGAATGTTGAAGCGGGGGTGTGCCTGGCTCAGGGGTTGTGCCCCACCAGAGCTGTCTGAGTTGCTGGGGGGGAGGACACAAAGGCCCCCTCATCTCCAGGCAACCTGAGTGGCCAGCACGCCAGCCCTGGTTCCCATGGAGCGCATAGCTGTACACAAGAGGCCGTCGCCTTTCTGGGCTGGAGAAAGGGGCTTTGTTACCTTACCCAAGGGGCCTGCGTGAGAGCAGCCTAGTGCTGGGAATCCTAACGGCCCCTCCGCCAAACAAAACCCATGGCCCCCGATGCCCCCTCCCGAAGGCCTGCTGAGCCCCTGGGAAAGAGATGCCTCATTCCCTGGAGGCTGCCATGGGGTTCCCAGGGCCCCTTCTCCAACGAACGCTAGTTAAGAGTCTATCCCCTAAGCCCCACTCTGCCCTAAAACAGAGCCCAGACAAGCGGGAAGACCCTGGCTCTCTGGCGCTGGAGCAAGAAGGAAAAACCGAGTTTTCATCCTCAGACCAAACCCCCAACCTCCCCGACACAGCGCACTCTGCCCTCTTCCCGCCCCAACGGTCCTGTTGTAGCCTCGAGGTTGATTTTCAAAGTGGGGTGTGTCTTTTATTATGTGTGTGTAAGAAGTTGATGTCTAATTGGGAGTTAAGCCTTCCCTCTAGACTCCCGCATTGGAGAGAGGGTTCTGCACAAGCCTGGAGACCCAGCACCCTGTTTTTTTCATGATGCCTTGCCCAGGCAGCAGAGATTTGACCCCTAGGGGTTGCAAACTGGGATAAAGAGAGGTGCTATGCCCTCCCCTCACTTTCAAGAGAGGCACTTTCCACCCAGGAAGAAGTCAGCTCAGAGTAAAGGAGACCCACGGTGGATCTGAACCAGTTTGTTTGAAGAAGTTTGGGAAGAAATACGGCCATTAATTTGTTTCAGTGTTAGAAGCAATACAGAGAGCCAACGTTAAGCAGTGCAGGTTATGCATCCATCCAGACTTTGGGAATTTGGCTAAGGTGATCCATCAGCACCGCCGCCACCACCACCACCACCACCACCACCACCACCACCACCACCACCAGGGCAAACTGAGGGAGAGTTCTCCAGCAGCCACACCGAGCTGGAAGGGTATGGATCAGTGTCACCGCTATCCAGAGAGGCTCAAGGTTGCAACTGCCACCAACTGGACAAGAGGGTACCCCGTACCCCATCCTCTTGCCTAGGCCCCGGGGGGTCTCACCATCTCCTTGTGGCGCGAGATCCAGGTCTCGAACAACAAGTCGAGGCGCGCGCGATGAAACTTTCTGGTGGTCTTGACCGCGATGAAGACGTCGTGGGGGGACAGGAACTCGGCGGGGGGACGAGGGAGCCGGTTAGCGGGACTGGAGGCGCCCCCGGGCGGCGGGTCAGCGTCTCTGCGGGCGCGGGTGAGTAGGCTGAAGTATTCGGACAGGCTGTGCACCTCACGGGTGAGAGCTCCGGGCGCCGCTACCCCCGTCGCCCTTGACTCTGGAGCCTGGGCGGCCCCCGCAGAGCCCGCCAGGCTGCGCAGAGTTCTCCGGCCGCGCTCAGCAGGCAACTGGGCGGGGGGCGGGTCGGCGGTGAGCACCAGCAGACAAGCGAGCAGTGCGCCCGCCAGTGCCAGCAGGAGACGCCGGCCGCAGCGCTGGAGCATGGTGGCCGGCGGCCGTACTCTGCGCCCGGCCTGTGCCACCTGGTCGGGCCGCCAGAGGTTGTGGGTCCAGCTGCGCGCCTCCTGCTCCGCCCGCTTTTAAACCTGCCCCGTTGGTCACGCCCCCTAGCGCTCATTGGCTGCTATCATGAGGGCGGGGCCTCCAGGGTGGCTGCTTGCGCCCACGTGGGGCATCAGCAAGGGGCTGGGAACCATCTAGCCGCCCCCACCCCCACGTGCCAGTCCCCTTTGCTCACGTACACTACCTGCCCTGCAGGGTCACCCTTCCGAGACGTCCCGCGGGACCTGAGGCTCTGGACTGCCACTGATGCGCTCAAGGCGGCACCCAGGATGGCCAACGCCCGGTGCGGCTGCACGTGGAGGGGCGCGCTCTGGGCGCTGGGACCTAGGTGATAGGACTCGATCTCCCCTACAGGGAACATCCTTGGGTCCCCGCGGAGTTCTTCCGGTCCTTAAACCAGTTTCCTTCCTTTAGGACAGTGCAGGCCGAGCCAACGGAGGCGGCCCTTAGAGCGGCCTGAGTGCTGGGTTCTGAGCAGCGATTATTGACACCTGTGCCCAAGATGCGGCCCAGAGATTCAGGCGAGAAGGCAGGCACCTGTACCAAATTCCATCCCTCCCAACAGGTCTATTTGTCCGGCCATCCTGGTCCTGCAAGGGGAGGGTTGGTCCCCCAAAATCTCAGGCATCCGGTGGTGAGGAGACAACTCAAGAGGTCCCTCCCTCACGGGATGAAAGACTGCCTTCTGTTCCATTTGGTTCTTCCGCGCTCCGGCCAGATGTGACCCAGCTGTGTGCCCTCCCCTCCCCGCCTCCCCGGCACACGGCCGCCTTCCCACGGGCGGGGGCCTTGCCTGCTCCTTGCACGAGCGGGGGCGGCAGGAATGTGCGCCTGATGCTAGGGTGAGGGGCTGCGGGGCCGGAAAAGGCCGAGGGTCCCCGGAGTGGGAGCAGCAGGGTCGGAGCCACTGTCAGCCGCATCTTCCGGGAGCGCAGCTGGGGGCGGCTCTCCGCTTGGCTGCGCCTTGGTCTGGTTGGCTTCAGTTCCCGCGTCCCCTTTCTAAAGTGTGCGCCCACTGTAACCACCACAGCTAAACGGCCGTTCCTTCTGTCGCCGATTCCCTAGCACTTACAATTAAAACTGGAATAGCATTTTTAGTTATTTTGCATACTATGCTCCCTTAAGGTTTCCTATGTGAATGTCAAAACAAGGCAGGGGTTGGGGAGGGGGTGGGGGGAGACGCTTGGGAATCCCAGCCAGGAGCAGGTACTGGAACACCAGGCGCTCTATAAAAGCTTGTGGAAGCAGCCGTTGTGGTGGAGGACAGAGGTCAGAGGTCACTGTGAGATGGACGCTAGCCTGGTCCAGCGAGTTCCAGGGAAGTTGAGGCTACAGGGAGACCTTGTCTCAAAAAACAAAAAGGTAAAACAAAACAACAAAACAAAAAAGGCTTTGGAAGGAGCTGACCAGATGGCTCATTAGGTAAAGGCTCCTGTCCCCAAGCCTGAAGACCTGAATTCAGTTCCTGGAACTGGCCTGGTGGAAGGAGCAATCTGGCTTCCACAAGTTGGTCTCTGACCTCCACAGGTGCATCATGGCCCAACCTTCAGTGCAGGTGCACATGTGTAATGTAAAAAAATTTTTTTTGACTCACTGAAGGCCAAAGCACTTGCAGAGGCCAAGGCAGGAGGATTGCTGAGAATTTAAAGCCCACTTGAGTTACATAGGGAATGCCAGGCCAGTCTGGGCTACAGTGTGAGAAGACCCTGTCTCAAAATAAAACTGAAAAGAGGCTGGGATGCAGCTCAGCTGGTAGATGGCTTACCTGGTGTGCATGAAACCCAGTTCTTTCCCCTGTATCAAACAAAACTAGGAATGGTGGCCCAAAATTGTAAGCCCAACACTTGAGAGATTCACAAGTTCAAGATCATTCTCAGCTACATAGTGAGTTTGAGGCTAGCCTGGGCTAATGAGACTCTGTCTCAAAAAAAAAAGAAAAAAAGAAAGACATTGAATAGATGTGGCCAGGATCTGTCACTCCCCACCCCAAGAGTGGATCTGTGGCCCATTTGCTCTGAGGGCCCTGGGGACAACACAGACCCTCTGTGATGGGAGGGAGAGGCATGTAGTGGTTCCCAGGCCTTTTCCTGACCCCCTCCCCCAGGTAATTAGGAGACACCACCTTGGGTAAGCAAATGCCTGAGCAGATGGTGAGGCTATGTCCCAGTGACAAGTCTCCCATGGCGTCACCTCCTTCTATAAACCCTTCCCCCATCTGCCAGAGCCTAGTCCTGGAAGGGATGGGAAAGAAGGAAAAAGACCTACCTGGTATCTAGTGGACTGCTCCCACAATATCTACCAGACCCCAGGGTCTGAACCACAGGATCCTTCTCCACTACCAACCCCTGTCTATCCACCATTCAGATATCTGAGGAGTGAGGCCCCAGTCCTCTCTCCTGGACCATGAACTACTTAGCATCCTCTACCCCAGTCCCCTGGTCTCCACAGTAACTGCTCCAATTGAACTATACACACACACACACACACACACACACACACACACACACACACACACGAAGACCAGATAGAGCTCAAGTCCTGGCCTGGTGTCCATGCACCGCCTGGAAATCCTAGCCACCTGTATCTTGTTTACTTTCCAAAAGCCCAAGCATGTCAAGCCCCAACTTCGAATGACTTCAATTCAAGGCAAGAGTGTCTTTTGCCAGCTCTCATCAGGTCTGCAAAGGAGCAGGAGAGGAAGCACGCCTCCTACACCCACCTAACCAGGTCTTGCCTGGGAGTCAGTCTCTGTGAGCCTCTAACCCAGGGCTAGAACTCCCTTAACCCCCCAATCCCTAAGTCCTCATGCTTCCCATTCTTCCCAGCTACTATGCTTCCACGTACCAGGCAGGGTGAGGAGTGTGCCCATTGTAAAGAAAGCAAGCTGAGGCTCAGAGAGGGACTAGTGCAGTACACAACAGCTCAACTGTGCAGGGGAGAACAGGCCAGCCACGTGCATGGTGCTGGGCTGAGGCCTTCTCTGCATCCTTGCAGTCAGGCCTAGGGGAGTGAGGAGACTGGCCCTGGCTGCGGGCTGCTTGTCTGGGAACAGCAGGACAAAGCCTTACAGCATTCTTGTGGGGGCTGCTGGCTTTGGCAAGAGTGATTCAATTTCTTTGCTGTCAGGAGAATGGAATTTTGTGGTGACCCCTTGAGGTCCGAAAACTGGGGGAGGGATGGCTGGCAACTCCAGCCTGGGGCATTCCCTTCTCCTAGACCCAAAGGCTCCCTCCAGGGATCCACTAGGCCACACTGTCTCAGTAAGAAGGTAGGGCACTCAGCCGAAGACGAAATGAAGGGCTGGAGAGGGAAGAGCAGGTCATTCAGGAAGTCAGGAAGCCCCTTTGGGTCCTCAGGAACAGGCCCTGGAGGGGAGGTCCTAGGGCCCAGCCCCAGGCAGAAACATGGTGAACACAACCTCAGAGGGTCCTTACAGCCTTGCACCTGTGACCTTGCTCCATCCAGCCTGTGTTCCCACCTGTGACAACAGGACATCACCGTCCTGTTTTTTTGTTGGTAATTATAGTGCTGGGGATTGAACCAAGGGCTTCATGCTTGCTAGTCAAAGATCTACTGTTGAGCCAAGCCTCCAGGCCCTCACTGGGGGATTTTAGGCAGGTGCTCTACCACTGAGCCACACCCCCAGCCCCTCACTGGGGGATTCTAGGCAGGTGCCCTTCCACTGAGCCCCCCCCCCTGCCCCTCACTGGGGAATTCTAGGCAGGTGCTCTCCCATTGAGCCACCCCCCCAGCCCCTCACTGGGGGATTCTAGGCAGGTGCCCTTCCACTGAGCCCCCCCCCCTGCCCCTCACTGGGGAATTCTAGGCAGGTGCTCTCCCATTGAGCCACCCCCCCAGCCCCTCACTGGGGGATTCTAGGCAGGTGCCCTTCCACTGAGCCCCCCCCCCTGCCCCTCACTGGGGAATTCTAGGCAGGTGCTCTCCCATTGAGCCACCCCCCCAGCCCCTCACTGGGGGATTCTAGGCAGGTGCCCTTCCACTGAGCCCCCCCCCCTGCCCCTCACTGGGGAATTCTAGGCAGGTGCTCTCCCATTGAGCCACCCCCCCAGCCCCTCACTGGGGGATTCTAGGCAGGTGCCCTTCCACTGAGCCCCCCCCCCTGCCCCTCACTGGGGAATTCTAGGCAGGTGCTCTCCCATTGAGCCACCCCCCCAGCCCCTCACTGGGGGATTCTAGGCAGGTGCCCTTCCACTGAGCCCCCCCCCCTGCCCCTCACTGGGGAATTCTAGGCAGGTGCTCTCCCATTGAGCCACCCCCCAGCCCCTCACTGGGGGATTCTAGGCAGATGCTCTATTGCTAAACTATATCTCCAGTCCTCTTTTTTACTTTTTATTTTGACACAGGACCTCACTAAGTTACCTAGACTGACCTTGAACTCACTATGTAGCCGGGCAGGTCTTAACCTCCTGTCTCAGCCTCTTGAGGAGCTGGGATGACAGGCCTACACCACTATGCCCAGTTTTATTACCATTCATCTTTTACTGTGCTCCCGGGTAATAGAGCAGGTCAGAATGGCACCCTGGCCCCCAGACATAAGATATGCTTTTTGTTTCCTAGACCACTGGCCTCTGCCAGCTCTTCTTGGGCTTCTGGCTGGTGGATGTCCAAGTGGCTGTTGAGGCCATGTAGAGAACTGGTAGGCCCACAAGACCAGCAAATGCCACACTACTGTCTGGAAGGTCCCTCCTTCTCCCATCCCCCATCAGGCTAAGGGGCAGAGCCATGTCCCCAATAAATTCAGGTCCCCTTTCCCTCTGCAGGCTCAGCCTAGGGTCTCTGGTTGGAGTCAGACTCACAAAGTCCTGAACATACAGCCTGGGTGTGCCCTTGCCCTACCAGTTCTTTGGGACTGGTTTTGAGCCAGCCATCAGCCCAGGTTTCCCGTGGTGACTTGGGACCCCTGCAGCAGCCTGCCCTCCTGTGCAGGGTCCTGGGAAGATCTACGGAGACACAATGAGTGATCCATTAA